GAGAGAGAGAGAGAGAGAGAGAGAGAGAGAGAGAGAGAGAGAGAGAGAGAGAGAGTGTCTCATGAAGTTTGGGCTGGCCTGATATTATGTAGCCAAGGATGATGCTGAACTGACATCCTTCCTGCCTCCACCTCCTAAGTGCTGGAATCACAGACATGCAGCACCATGCCCAGGGATCCAAATTCATTTCTCGTCGATTTCTATGGAAAAACCAAGGGCTCTTACTACCTTCCAGCGTCCAGTCGCCTCCTCACCCCCATCTTTTGGGTGCTGACTCACTCTGGTCCCACCCACCCAGTGACTCAGTCTCCAGTGCTCATCCCTGGGGGCAGTAGGGTGGGGCAGGGAGGGCAGCAGTTCTGACCAGGTTTAAATAATAAGCCTGATTTGGCAGATTCCTTCTTTGCCCACCTGGCTCTCCCCGGGCCCTCCGGGGCTTGCCCACTGTCCCTGGTCTAGCCTGTTACTACTCAGTATCTTTTCTTCTAGACTTCTGGGATCAGGGGCTTCCAACACTGAAAGAGGAGCAGGAGACATTTCTCAGTGTGGGGAACTGGAGTCTGAGGTTCCCTTTCCTCCTCCTCCATATGGAACCCAGGTCCTGTCTCCAGCACCGGCCATTAGAGTGATGGAGATGAGCCTGCCGGGATAGCTAAAGCGAAAGCTCTCCATCCTCTTCCTACGTATGCCCCTTTCCCCCAGGAGAAAATAAATAGGGGAAGGGAGAATGGAGAGTCCGGACATCTCCCTTCCTTAGTCTCGGGTGCCCCTAGCCACATGCAGCCTCATAAAGGCTGATCTTTATCCCCCTGATCTTTCTGCTTCACGTTCCACCCAGGACCTGGGAGGAACCAATAGGCCGGTCCCAGAAGCTCAAAGAAGCTGCCCATCTGCGTCGATCCATGTTCTTACCAGGAAAGACTAACTTTTCCTATCTGAGGTGGGCAGATGGAAGGCGGGGTGGGACATGAACTCACCCGACGGCCCCCTGGGGCGGTGACAGCGACCCTGGCCCATCAGCAGCGCCCGCAAAGGGGTCTCTTCATTCTCTCGCGGTTGGCACTGCAGTCCTGGGGCACACTTAGGGATGTAGACCCCACACGGCTGCCCCTCTCTCCTGAGACAGCCCCCGGCTTCTGCACAGCCCTCTGCAGGGGACCCCGCGTCTTCCTCCTCCACACAGCCCCCGCGACAGCTGCTGGTCTGCACCCCGCGCGTTGAGGCGGACCCTAAGCCGGCAGCCAGCAACAGAGTTAGCAGCAGCAGCAGCAGCGGCTGAGGGGGCAGCCTGTCCCGGGTCATGGTCAGAGTTTTTGCCCAATGCACTCCTTCCAGAGAGCGTAGCGCAGCAAGCCGCTGCTCCTCTGCTTTGTGAAGCAGCTGGCCGGCTCTGCCCTTAAAAGCCAGGTGAAAGGGGAGGGAACGAGGGCAGGGGCATACCCTAAACTGGAGGGACTGGAGGGCCACCCACCTGGATCCACCCGGCTTTCCCCTCCCTCCTCCTCCTCAGCTGCTGTTTACTTCCAAAATTGTTCTGATTTTTTTTTTCTTCTTCTTCTTCTTGCTTTGTTCCTGGGAATCTCGCCCGGAATTTGGGAGCTGTACATCTGGCTAAAGGAACTGTGGGATGGGGAGGAGCGAAGGGGAGGACAGCGAACCCTGAAATCCAGTTAGCGTGCGTGTACGTACAGGAAGATGAAGGACCAGTAGGTACTTCTGCAGATGAGAAGATGGGAGCCTGGGGGCTAAATGTGAACTGAGAAAAGATCTAGGGGTCGGTAAGCGCTAGGAGAGACATAATTGGCATCTGGGCAGAAGTTCCTACCACAGGCAAGAAGTAGACCCAAGAGAGGAGAAAGAGGGTAAAATGGGGAAGGGGCAGAATAAAGTCTCCAGGCCTGTGTCTGTGAAAACAAAACAAAACAATAAAACCAGAGAATCTGGTCTGCGAAGATGATACAAAAGGTTGCCAGAGCAGCAGTGAGATGATGAATCACCTTGAGTCAATTGTAGCAAACCTAGCACTGCCTGAGAGCCGCTGAGCGCAAAGTTCAGGGAAAGGGGGTCCTGAACGCCTGCAGGGTATGGGTAAAAGTAGGGGATTATATTCTAGATGCTTTTAGGGACAGTCATCTGGCCGCAGACCAGGGGTCATCCTCCTCTCTGCCCTTCAAGCTAACTTGTCCCTCCATGACTCTCTCTTCCTCAAGCTTTCTCCTGTCTCTGGTCATTCCTTGGGTCTTCTGGATTTCTCAGATTGTTCTGTGTCCTCAGGGTTTGGGAAGGGACTGGCCTGAGAGCTTCAGTCCCTCTACGCTCATTTGCCTGGCCATCTCCAGTGGGTCCATCCAAAGGCAGCGCCTGCTCATCCCAAGACATAGTTCCACCCTGGGCAGGGGTGAGCGAAGTCTCAGGGAAGAAGTGGGATTGCTGCATTGGTCCACCCGGCCAGCACAAGCCTGAGTTATGCAACAGCAATCTCATTCTTTCCTAAAACAAGGGCTCCGGACAGTGACTAAGTTTAAATTCTGGGCCCCCAAGCAAGAATGTCAGCAAGGGCTTCCTGAGCTTTTAAGCAGATACAAAATAAAAAGAACCGCCCCGTGGCTCCTCTGAGATTTTAGGACTAGCGGCATTTGGAAAGTGATGATTTCCCGTTGCCATGAGATACGGATACAGATTGAACAGGCAGGAAAAAGTGACCACTATCTTCCCTGGAGCGCCTCCTCTGTGTTCTGACCCCAGAGTGGAGAGCGTGGTTCCTGTCCAAACCTTTATCCCTATTATTTATTAACTTTTTTCCACTGCAAATGCTTCTGGCTAGGGCCTTTCTTATGGACTCTTGTGTGCTGCTTCTGAATACCACGGAAAAGCTTATGGGAAGTTGGTAAGGAGAAAGATGACTCCCTGCTGGGGTCTCCCTAGTGGGTCTTTTGAAGACGTTGTACTCCACCTTTGTAGAGAAAACCTAGCATTCTGCTAATGTCTAACACCACTCCATCCTGGCGCTCCCCATTTCCCCTCCCTGTGGTTCTCCGCTCCTGGGGCTCTCTTGGTCCCTCTCTGCAGGACTACACAATGCAGAAATGCATTTATCCTGGCAGGAAAGTCCCCTTTCCTCATCCTTCCAATATGAGTGCCCAGACAGTCATGCTCATTCCTGCCTGGGCACAAGTCTCCTTGAAGACAGAGGTCCTTGAGTTCTGCTTTTCCTCCTTTTGGGATGCCATCTGCCTTAGCACCCAGAGAAGAGACGTGGAGCACATGATGTGGGAGTCTGCATGAGAACCTGTCCTGAGAAGCTGGTGCCAGGGCTCACACAGATGAGCCTTGGCCTATGATGTAGGTTTGTCCATAACCTTGGTAGGGACTCCTGTCACACACCACACACTTCTAATCACCGAAGCTCGAAGCTCCAACGTCCCGTGCATCCTCAGGCACGGACTTCCTTTTGATAACATGAGGCAGAAGGAGAGGACTGCCTGCCTGGACTATTTTCAGCTTTAAGTTTGACAAGAAGGCTGCATACCCGGGCCAGGAAGACTCAGGAAGTGCAGGGAGAGAACTGGAGTACTATGGTAACCACAGCTGACGTCCAGCCTGTTTCCTGCCATCTGGCCTCCCACAACCCTCAACCTGCTCTGCTGAGTGCTATCTTGGTTAAGTAACGGTCTCCCCCTCAAAAGCCTTGAGGGGTACTCCACACAGACCCCCTCACCGCAGAGCCCAGCTCTCATTTTGGAGTTCTTAACCCTGAGGGTGGAGCTCTGTAATTACACACCAATTCGGCCAGCTATCTGGGTCACCTTCTCCAGCACCCTTTGTCAGTTTCTCATCTTAGTTCTTAGTTCTTAGTTGAGACAAGAGGAAGTGAAGGTGAGGTGTAATTGGTTTTTCAGAGGTAATTTCTTTCCCACGTCTCCAAGCTTTAGGCGCAGGAGAACTAAACCCTTCCTCTTGCCCATCTGTGTGGCCATTTTATATCTTTATACCTTTTTTTTTTTGCTTTGTTTTTTGAGACAGGGTTTCTCTGTGTAGTCTTGGCTGTCCTGGAACTCACTCTGTAGACCAGGCTGGCCTCAAACTCAGAGATCCACCTGGTTCTGCCTCCCGAGTGCTGGGATTAAAGGCGTGCGCCACCTGCCCGGCTCAGGTCTTTTTTTATATATCACTAGTTCTCGAATAATGACACGGAGAGCTTTTTATTAATTATGAAAGCTTGGCCTTAGCTTAGGTTTATTCCCAACTAGCTCTTAAAACTTAAATTAACTCTTACACATTCATCTGCATTTTGCCACCTGACTCATTACCTCTCCTCAACGCCGTATGTCTGAC